CACACACACACACACACACACACGCACTCGCACACACACACACACACAATACACTCACAGAGAAACCAACAGACACACTTAGCGCGTTATATGTAGTAGGATCATAGCACGGATTGAGAAAGAGGTCAGGCAAGAAAGACACGAAGACATCAACGGGGACACAGAGCATATGTGCTGAGTTAGGGCACTCGAGGTGAAGCACTGTTTTAAAAACTTGGATCGCCTTCACTCTCCACAATGAACTACTTTTTCCCGGTTCCCAAATCAGAAGGAAGCTCAGTTGATGCGGAAAAGTAGTGCGCCGCGGATAGAGAAAAGAGGGATCATTTTCCAAGTGTATAGCTCTGGCTATACCCTTTTCATCTTATCTTTGGTGTCGCTCTCAATGTGTGTGAAGGAGGTCTTAAAGGGATTGAATAGCTCCGGCAACCTCCATTGAAAAACATGACTGCTCTATATCCAGATGTGCGCACGAACACACACAAATTTAGACAGCCTGTCTGAATACCCCTTCTATACAACTCTTGTGGCCACATTCTCGTCCACGCCCACAACTTGTTTCTGTTTTAAAGCTTTATACTTCTCTTATAACGCCGATTTTCGCAACTCCTTTGCAACTTTTGCATTATTGTGGAATATCAACAAAGTTATCGTGGACTGTGTAACAATCTAGGCTTACTAGCTCATCATCAAAGCTTACTGTGCAGGCGGTCGGTATGCTACTGTGAACAGAATAATGAAAAACGTGTTGAGGCCCCACTACTATAGGTAGGTGATAAGCGCGTTTATCAGAAAGATTAAATATGGTTCGTTAAAGGCACATTCCACGATAAAGGAGGTTTCTAAGATTTCCCCTTAAGGTTATCCAGCGGCCCTCAAGAGAAACGCAAAAGACGCTGTCGGGACCAAAAACTCAGTAGACAGGGCATAATAGGAGCCCCATCACCGGCTTAATTCAAGTCCACAATCATCGGCCGATGATATCTCAGAAGAATTGCCCGAGCGATGCAAGTTGCGCTTTAAGCGCTAGAACCCACACGTTCAGCATCCAAGCAGCCTATCGTCGAGTTGTGAATTTATGTTCAAGGTGAAGATGGATGAAATTTTTTTCAGATCCACTAGATAGTGAGATGCATCAGAATGTCGACAATGCAGCGGAATAGTGAGAGAGGACTAGATCCGAACTATCAGCGCCTATTATCCTACTTTATATAATTCGCTAAGTGTGTCTGTCTGTTGGTGTGTCGGTGTGTGTGTGTTTGTGT